AGGAGTCCTTCATACGAGTCCTCTTTTCTACACCTACCCTGACAGCTTGTTGTGTTTGTGGATATATGATTGACTTTAATCATCCATGAAATTGGCACATTCTCTGTAAGATTAAGGTCAACTATTGAGTTGCATATATTTTAAAGTAAATGCTTTAAAACCACGCTGACGCTGAAAGTACTGACATCGCTAATGTTACATAACTTTGCCGACATTTGGCTAACAGTAATGTTTTAATGTTCTTCATTATTAAACATTTGCACATAAGGAAGTCACAAAATATTCCGTACTTACTTACTTAAAAGTTTACTCTTCGCCCACTTCAGCCGTCCGCCGTCTTTTTTCAGCAAAATTATCCAAAACTGAGCTTTAAAATGAATAGTGATGATAAAAATCGAGAGAGACCGACCATGGTCACTGACTTCTTTAGGGGCTTTTTCAGATTAAATAGAACAAAATACAAAACATTAAAACATGTTAAAAACACAACAGCCTTAAATGCAGAGTAGTTTGGACCTGGAAGCAGGTTACATCAGGTCATCATCTAAAGATTGGATATCCCACCTGCTGTGGACTACAGCTATATGCTACAGCTACATGCTAATGGAGCTAGCTTGTTAACCTTGCATGTATAATGATCAAACATATTCAGTCACAGGAAACTAAAACCTTTAAAATAACCAACAGTCACACATTTAAAGGTAAAAACATATGAAACATGGTGCCTGAACTCTACTTCACACCTCCCTCTATCAGTAGTGTTTGTTGGCTTTGAATAAACTATCACCCCCCCTGCTGGTAATGCAACTGAAGCTTGGGCATTAATGTAACCCGAGAAGAGACAAAATTTGACATCCACACAGAGTCCTTCTGTGACACCACCTTAAAGGGAGGGGACTAGAGACAGACAATAAAAGGGTGGAGGTGAAACTAAAACCATTCAGTAAAAGTCACACTGATCCATCACAGCTCAACTGCCTGAGAAAGAAATACATGGCCTCTTCACAGCGATGTAAGTACATTTACAAATGTTAGACTTTTGTTTTAAAAACACACACAAATTTGCTGTGACACTTTTAATCATAGCTTTGGATAAAATATCAAACAACTAAAGTTTTACTTTTTTATATATTCTAAAACTTACTGACAGAAACTTTCAGTCTTATTTTTGAGTTTCATAATTGTAAAATGTAGATTTACAGAAACAACAATAAATTAAAAAATAAAAACAAAAACTTGCATAACTTCTAAAACTGTTTTCAATGGGAATCACATCCCTGAATGTATTTCCTGACCCTATACAAATGTTCAGTTCAGTTGGGTGACTCCTATTAGTCATGAAATCAGCTGAACCAGCTAAACAAGTCAGTCTTTTGTACTGTACAGAGGTTTGGAGTGAAACACGCCCTGTCATGTGACCTATTGACATCACCTGATAGAAAATTGAGGTGATGTCAATTTGGGCTACAGAAGACAGAGACATCCCATTCTATGCGCCTCATCCGTCACTCACGTCTTGCATCAGGGGATCAATGTGCATGAAACGTGTTCAGGCCTCTACAACAGTGAGTTGCACAGTCATGTTCAAAAAGAGTTATAAAAATATGATCTTCTCGATCTATAAAGAAAAGGAAAATATTTAAATTAAGTGAATGTCTCTATTTAAAAACAAACAAACAAAAAATTCATGATGTGATATTATAGTATATAGTATATCAGAAATCTGTTCACTATTTTTATTA